TACTCCAGAACTTCTTTGGCACCCTATTCTTCATCTTCTCCCATTCCTCTCGTTCCAGCCACGTCTCCACCAACCCCGACATTCCACTCTTTTATCCTTTCCCAAAACTCTTCCTGTTTTTCCTTCACTCCCGCTACATTCCAAAAGTTTATCTTTAGGCTTACTTTCTGTTCCTTCCTTTTTTTCCTCCCTCTTTAATTCTTTTCTTCCCCCTTTTCTTTTTCTCCCCTCTTTTTCCTCTCTTTCACTCCTTTTTACTTTCCCCACTTTACTCTCTCTGACTCCTTTTCCCCCTCCTCTCAGCCTCACCACACTTTCTTTTTTCCTACTCTCCCTCTCCTCCCTCTTCTCTCCCCTCTACCCTCCCATCGTTTTTCCTCTCTTCTCACTATCCTCCCTTTTCATTTTTTTGTCTCTCTTTTTTCTACTCTTTCCCTCTTCCTCTGTTCCTTTTTCTTCCCCCCTCCTTCTTCTTGTTCCTCTTTCTCATTTTCCCTTCCATTTGTCAGGACTTCTTTTTCCTCATCCCAACTCCACCACTTCTCCTCTATCCAAATCTTTCCGTACTTTACCCAAGCTCTCCTTCTATTCTTTCTCTCCTTCTCAGTTATCCTCTTCAGACTCCATTACATTTTTCTTTTTTTCAAGGTCATGTCATCCTCTATTTTTTCCATCCTCCCTTTCCACACATTCTTTCTCTGCGTTACCTCTCTTTTTCTTACTCTATCTTTTAACCTAACTAAAACCATCTTCTTTTCTTTCCCCGTTTTTCTTCCTACCTCTTTTACCTCTTCTATTCCTCTCTCTAGCCCCATCTCTAGCCATAGCTTCCCTACCGCTTCCTTTAGCCTTCCCTTCACCACCTCCACCCTTTTCACTACTACATTGTTCCTCCTTCTGTCTCTCTCTTCTAACTCTCTCCACCTTTCTAGCTCTCTTACCTTCGCTTTCATTGCTTTATCCCTTCTTCCCCCTTATCTCCCATTTTTCTTCCTCTTTCATTTTTCCCTGCCCTTCCTTCCTCCCATCTCTCCATCTCTTAATTAATATATTTAAATTTATATATTAGTTAACTTCTTTATATACACTACCGCTCATTAATTTCAATATACCCCTATATTTGTTAATTTCTCTGTAAAGGATGAACATGATACATATGTTTTGTACAGAAATGAATAGATTTGCTGTTATACGTTTGCATGCATTGCATTTTTATATATTATTTATATAAAAATGCGATGCATGCAAGTGAAATGTTTATAACAGCTAGTGCATTCATTTCTGTGCAAAACACGTATCATGATGTTCATCTTTTACAGAGAAATCAACGAATCTTTTGCATATTGAAATTATTGAGCGGTAGTGTATATAAAGAAGTTAACTAATATATAAATTTAAATATATTTGCAATATATATAATAAATATTTTTGTAATATATAATACCTTTCTCTATACTGTTTCTTTTCTTGTCCTTCTTTCTTCGTTTTCTATCTCTATTACTTTCTCTCGTCTTAAAATACATTTTACTTTTTTATAAACAGCTTAAGGTATCGATACAATAAATAATACTATAAAAGCTACATTTGGATGGAACGGTAATAATTTACACATCCTATTATACCTCTACAATTATGTTAAAATCATAATAGCGTAATGAAAACGATTCATAGGAATAAATGTGATAGTATTTATGAAATAAAATTAAGTATGAAATATACATTTAAGAAATATTACTTTAATGATTATATTATCTGACGCGTTATTAACATTCCATACAGGCAAAGCAAATAGATACTATGATATACAGGATACCTTTAAACCATTTTCTAACATTTTTCAGATTTATTGTATTGATTTATTGATTATTGTAATATAATCGTATAATCGTCATATTTTTTTACACAGGAATACTAACGCAAAATTATTCGGACATTGTCACTACTAAAATTAAAAAATCAGATGAAGGGTTAGGTAATGTACATATTTTTAATTCACATATCTCTCATTTACTACCGATCATCATTTCACAATGATACATTTGTAACGAAATACCCAAAACGTATATCTGTAATCTAAACACAAGTTTTTATATTCTGGAAACGATACAAGTGTCTTAAAATACTTTTTACTTGTTTCTAAGCAGCATAAAATATCGATACTATCCGAATAGTATAAAAGCTACATTTGGATGGAACGATAACCATTTAGACACCCTACCTCTATAATTATGTTAAAATCGTCAGATATACTGTAATATAATCGTCATATTTTTTTACACAGAAATACTAACGCAAATTATTCGGACATTTTCACTAAAAAATTAGATGAAGATAGTTTGTAATCAAACAAAGATACTGTTTAGTTAATGTACACATTTTTTTAATTCACATATCTTTCATTTACTACCGATCATCATTTCATAATGATGCATTTGCAACGAAATAGATATGTCAGCAACATTCGAAACCATCGACTGGAAAAAGCATTCCTCTTGGTCTATTCGTTGTGACGGATAAAATTGTATAATTTCAGCACTCAGCAATGGATTCACTTCAATTGATGCGATTTTAAGACAGAGCTCAATTCAAAGAATCCTCGTTGTTACTAAATATGTTTACAAGGCCTGTGAATAGCGCTAATTTCCCTGCCATGCGCATATCTTTCTTTTTCGTGGCTGTATACCTCGCTGTATACTGATTAGGCATTATCTTGTCCGCAATATGCTTATAGACTTTTCCATTCAGCATTAACATAAAAAAGCCGTCGTACCATCTGAAATCGTTATATATAATTGTCTTGGTATTATAATCAATTTTATAATAAGCGTTTCCTCTCCGATAGCATAAACAAAATTAATTTTAGGAAATGTAAATTATTTTATGTTTTTCTGAAGGTAGAATACAAAACAAAACTAAAAATCAAGTTCTTTTCAAATAATAGACAACTTGAATTAATTATATAATTAATGTTTATAAGAACAATTTTATATTACTTTTAAAAACTTTAAAATGTTTAGAACACTGATTACACTTACATTTCCTGATTAGCGCTTATTATGGCATGTTGTATTTTCCAAATTTTACTTCCAAAACATAGAAAATACCTTCCAGCCTGTGACACCACGTATACGCCAACGAACCTGCACGGTATCGTTTTCAGAATGCATTGTGATCTTAAGGATGTCAAGCTTGACGTGTGCAAACTTCATATAACCAATGAATCTTAATAGTATCAATTCCTTCGCATAACTCATAAGTCCCCTGCAATATTTTTTAAGCATATTATGAGAAAATGAAAATACTTAATGCTAAAAACTATCAATTGCTTTAAATACTTAATAAAATTAATTTTCGTTACTCCTCTAATATTGCTGATAAAAATTATATTATAATAATGGATAACAGGGACTCAATTCACAAATATTTTAGCATAACTACAATACAAATTGCGCTATAGAACACTTTCTCGTTCTTTTCGACTTTTAAAATTTACAAGAAAGCATATACATACATACATGTGCAATTTTGGATACACCTTTCTTCTTAACGGTCTCTTCGGTATCAGCTCCCTGCGGTCAATATATAGCGGCAAAATTGTATACCATATAGTTGAATATAAAATGTTCCTGCGTGAGAAAACAAGAGAAAAGAAGGACATTTATAATAGGTAATGACACGCGATACGAACCACGCAATAGTGTTAATTCGGGATTGAAGGAAAAAAGAGGGGGTAAAGGAGAAGAGATTCTTACAATTAGAGGCACTCTGTAGCAACTCGTATTATCTAGCACAGGAGGACCTCTTGTGCTAGACAATTATTCCTCAACAGTGTCTGAGAATTATTATATTTTGAAGACGCGAGATTGTACATTCAAAGCATCTAAGTTAACGAAAGTAAAGTACAATATAAACATTCTTCGGAGAAATCTTTATTACGCGATAGTGCCTGTCGCACGTGCATACAAATACAGATCACTTTCTCGTTCTCTTAACTTTTACAACTTTTACAAGACAACATATATACGTACGTGTGCGATTTTGGATACACCTTCCTTCTGAAAGATCTCCTCGGCATCAGCTCCCTGCCGTCAATATATATTTCACTATCACTATCATCTATCACGCGGCAATGGTTACGACTCTGTCACTGTCACCATCTATTTTTAGGTTACCGCTGTATTCCAACATAGATCGGTCTTTCTTAACAGCTTCATGTGTCTGTGATTGAGAAAGAAATCTGATAAGCTCTGTACATATACCAGCTCAATATAAGCAACATATACATATACAAATATGTATATATATTTTAGATAAAAACAGTCAGTAAACTTTTATAAAACAATACTCTTTGAAATAATACAAGCGATAATAATTTTTATAATTACCTCTCTATATATCTTAAATGTGCATGAATTTTCTTCTAACTATATTTGTAATGTCATCAACTTTTCACGTTTGTTGAATATTTGTGCCATGAGCACCAACAGCTAATTCCATCAGATCTTCTCGAACATTAACTTCATCGGTATATCTAAAATAAGGCAAATTTTACATAATACAAAAACAATAATTATTACTTACATCTGCTTATATAAAAAGTATATGATTACAAAGATAAATCTGTATCAAAAATCTATAGTTACTGTAACGTATACTTAGATTAGATTTGTACGAGCAAGCAATATAACTAACCTCGCGAGACACCACGCGAGCAAACGTCATTACGTTAAAAAATATTAATGTAAAATATAATTATCCACATACATTATATATAATAGTGGATTATATGTAATAAAAAATCCTACTAACCTCGCAAAACACACCACGCGAACACACGTCACATCACGCGATACACGCGCGAAATTAACTTGCCAAACTCGCCGCGATCTCGATCGCCGTCGTCACTTCGATCCTTGCGTGACGCGAACGAAAGTCGCGAATTAAACGATCGTATTTAATGATGAGAGATCACATTAATAATAATATTAACCTCCTAACGACACGACGCGAACTGTCACATCACGATTGATCACGACGCACACGCACGAAATTCGCGGAACCGCCGCGATCTCGATCACCCGGCTTCGACCGGCCAATCACGCACGCGGAAAAGCGGCAACACTACGTGCGAGATATTTCGACTCGGAACGCTCACTTCTCGGGTAAACATGGATTTTTTTATTATAGATATTTAAGAGTACTTTGATATGCCAAAATTTCGAGTGAACCCTCAGCTTCAATTGGACAGTATCAAATTTTGTGTGATTGTTACTCTACAGTTGTTACATAACAATAAATAACGACAGGTCGCTTGTGACAACGTGCCCCGTGACCAGGGCATGTTGTCACATCAAATGTAATTGCATGCAAAATGTTATCCAAACTGCATTCAACGTAAATATCAATATATTATAGTGCGTTGCAATGTAAAAAAGTAAAATCCTTCACAGAAACATTTACTTTATTTCAAAAAAGTACAAAAAGCACGAAGTTTTCGTCTTAATCTAAATACAAGAATTCCACTCGAATGCGCAACTTATTGATACACATTTTTTCTTTTATAATCATGTCGGTGATTAAACATAAAATATTTTTACTCGTTATCGTCATCCGAAGATTCGCAATAGATTCCCATCAAATTCGTGACAACGTGCCTCGAGGGCACGTTTTTTTACTTCAAACAGCCTCATGGCCGACACGTTTGAGATATTCATAAGGTTAGGTATTGCACGCGATAGGTAAAAATACATACTTTAAGATAATATAAAGGTCTATTCAGAAAAAACATAAGCTTCATGTCCAGTACGTTGAATATTAGACAATAAAATTTTACTTACGGTCGCAAAAAACTTTCAAGTTGATTTTACGTCAACACGGCTGGAGCAATCTCAACACTGTAAACACACCAAAGATGGGCATCCACGTCAACACGTTTTGGGAATGACGGGAGCTGCCCTGTGGTTATTAGTTTTTTAAATAAAGCCGATGTGACAACGTGCCCCGTGTGACAACGTGCCCCGGTCTACTCTAATCTTTTTTTTTCTGTTTTTTACTGTACTTTTCGAAGAAAATATCGAAAAAACTTTTTATGGACAATATAACTGTTTTTTTTTTAAGATTTAAGTAAGAAATATTTTTTTTCTTAGGGTGCGTTCTGTTTGGACGCTCACGCGCTGTAAGCGCTTATGAGCGTTACTCACGTCGTTCGCTTTGGAGTTGTAAGCGCTTACGGATCGACTAATGACGTCATCGTGACGTCATAACTTCTGCTGACAAACGCTTATTTCTGCAAGGTAGGGCAGTGTGAGCGTGATCAAGCGTAAGCGCTTACGTTCATTTCGGAACGCATTGTTATCGGATTGCATATCAACAAACATGTCGTCGAATCGAATTATAGACGGAAAAATTGTAACAATATCCAATTTCCAGCATTTAACGCAGTGGCTTTTCCTACATTGAATTTCTCACAAATAGATCTGTACATAATTTAAATATTAAGCAAAAAAGAATTATATGCATACACAAATATAAATTTAAAATTGAATAAACGAAATATTAGGCTCTCCTGAATAAATCAAATAAAGGGAAGTGAGAGAGGCACTCAGAGCCACGCGCGGTAATTAATGCGCAATCAAAATAAGTCAATAATAAAATATATTAGTTAATACAAATTCGGACGTTTTGACACTTTTTTGTGTCATCTTCAGCGTAAAAATAAAAATAATACATAAAAATTTCAGACGATAAATTACAGTCAATTGCGATAAAATAAGTCAATCAGTAGAAAAGCGCAGTCAAATCAATAAAATAAAATTCATACGAATGTTCGGTAGTCTGTCAGGATATGCAAATGCTCCGAATCGATCGCACCTTCGACGTTTACTCTCAGGTTGAAAGACCAGACCAGGTAGAAAGGGGAGATTCGATTGTCCTTTCTAAACCGTGAATCGGAGTCGCAATATGTTAAAAAACGCAATGTATCAGTATTAAAATTACAATCACGAATTTTTACTTACGGGTCATTACAGACCAATAAGTCGCAGTGTTAAAATAATGTATCTGTCGCTCTGGCATGTCGTGAGTGAGTGAAGCGTTGGTAGAAATCGGAAGGTTAACATAATATAAAAGCGGTGTGTGCATGAGTTAATGGTGGGGATAAATATACAACGAATAACTCTAAATTTTTGATAATCTATCAATAACGTTCAAATAAGTATCCGGTAAACCTTCCGTGTCCGTCTGCAAATTCAGTCCATTTTCCTGTCTCTTTATGCACAGCATCTCGGAAATTAAGCGTTTATAAAAATACGACTTATTATCTAAAATTTCCACATTATCCCAATCGAAATTATGATTTAATGCTAAAATCTATAATCTGTTATAACAGAATGATTAGATGTATTCTAATTTATATATGGTTCTGGGGTTCCTTAATTCTTGTTTGTAATTGTCTGCTCGTTTGACCTACATAAGATGCGTCGCAATCATTACAGTTAATTTTGTATACTACGTTACATTGTTTAGAACGTGGGAGACTATTCTTATGAGCTTTTATGAAGGTTCGCATTTTGTTTAAGCTATTATACGATAATCTCACTTTCAGATCCCTTGTTATGTTCTTAAATTGTTCTGTTTAAAAAATTTAGAGTGATTCGTTGTGAATTTTTATCCCCACCATTAAGACCCAGTTTCACAACTAACGTCCCCTTTAGAAAAAAACAAAGAGTGAGTTAATCTAAGATTAAAAGTTAACCGACCCTTGTGAAACTGGCCCTAACTCATGTACTTTTATTATGTTAACCTTCCAATTTCTACCCACGCTTCACTCACTCACGACATGTCAGAGCGACAGGTACATTTTGACACTGCGACTTACTGGTCTGTAATGCTCCGTAAGTAAGAATTTGTGATTGTAATTTTAATACTGATACATTGCGTTTTTAACATATTGCGACTCCGATTCACGGTTTAGAAAAGACAATCGAATCTCTCCTTTCTACCTGGTCTTCCAACCTGAGAGTAATCGTCGAAGATGCGATCGATTCGTAGCATTTGCATATCGGCATATCCTGACAGACTACCAAACATTCGTATGAATTTTATTTTATTGATTTGACTGTGCTTTTCTACTGATTGACTGTAATTTATCGTCTAAAATTTTCATGTATTATTTTCATTTTTACGCTCTAAAAATGACACAAAAAAGTGTCGAAACGTCCGAATTTGTATTAACTAATATATATATTTTTTATTATTGACTTATTTTGATTGCGCATTAATTACCGCGCGTGGCTCTGATTGCCTCTCTAACTTCCCTTTATTTGTTTCAAAAATTGAACCAACAATGTGTAATAATAATATTAATAACATACCGATATGAATCTGGGGTGGCCATTTTCCATATAGCGATAAAAATTGTTTTTTGGGTGATATTGTTTTACGTCCTGATTTTGATCTTAGTAATTTAGGTTTTAAAATTTGTAGAATAAAATTACATGTTGCTCGTTTTAGTCTAAAAAAAGGGTTTATTTAAAAAATTAAATATTTTTCCTCATCGAATAATAATTCTAATAATATGTTATTATTTGCGCAAATATAACAATAACCTATCGTCTGCCATTTTGACGTGCTCATAGTCGCTTACATTGCCAAAACGAACAACATTTCTTACTATTGTGTAAGCGCTCAGATACCAAATCGAACGATTGAAAACAGCGTTTATAAGCGTGAGCGCTTACAGCGCGTGAGCGTCCAAACCGAACGCACCCTTAATGCAACCGTCTTGATTTTTTTTCAAAAAAAATCTCACAAATTTTAGACTTAGTTTCGAAATTTTTAAGCCATTGATGAAGATGGAATTTCAATAACTTCAATTTTTTAAGGAACTCTTTCTTCATTTTTTTTCGAAAATAATTTTTTTTAAATAAGATAGACTACTGATGGTTATCAAAAAATTTGATAAATTTGTAGACAGCAATCCTGAAATTTCAATCTATAGATAAAAAGAAAATTCGAATATTTTCTACTTTTTAATTGCATTTTTGGTAATTGAGGGGGTCACCTTGGATGACCTTGATATTTTAGTATGTTGCTAAGGTCACTCTCCTGAGTAACCTTCAGAAGGTTTCAGCCCGCGCTCGTTGTTTATTCAAAAGTTATTAACAAAAAAAATTTGAGAAATGTGGCACCTCGTTTCGCGTGGAAAGTAAAGGTAAAAAAAGGCGCCAAGTACACGCAATGTATTTTGTAAATTCAAAAATCTAACCTAATTGGTAGCTTTATTTCTCCTTCACAAAAAGAGTTAGCTGGTCAAAACGATTGAGAACTGCTGTTGGGTTTAATTTTTTTATATCACACGTGCGTGGAAAGTGGCCCATTACGCGCGCGCCATCTGTGCGACAAATAGCCAATTCCATACACGAGTCAAAACAGTGCGGTAATGTAACATTATTCTGATCGTAATTTGATGTTAATTATGTGTACAATTAACATAACTTTTATTTTGAAGTTAAGATTGTAAAATAAAAACAACACTCTTTTTCTGTAAATTTTTATTACTTCCTCAAAGAGGAAGCTTTGTTTTCGTAACCTTCGTATATGGACCTTTGATCGCGTATAAAGTTGGGTCTAATCAACAAAATTAAAAAAAATTTTATATGAAATAGGGTTAGAAAAAACCAAAAAAAAAAATTGTTTTTAAAATTTTTGATGCCAATATGTTTAGAGTGTTCTAAAACGTCGATAAAATTGCGTTAAAAAAATGTCCGTGTGTGTGTGTGTGTGTGTGTGTGTGTGTGCGCGCGCGCGCGCGCGGATTTGATGTCCGATTGCTCTAACTTCCGCAAATATTAAGATATCGGACTGTTTTTTTTTTTTTAATCAATAGAGTATCATTCAAGGAAGGTTGGTATTGAATTTGGCGATAATCGGTAAAAGAGTTCTTTTTTCTTTTTAAACAAAACAATTTCCGTCGCCAGCAAACAATTCAAAATAAGTCGTTTTATTTTCGACCCAACTGGCCAATTGAAACAAGGTTGCACGACGTTTCGACTAGGGCTGCGGCTATCCGGATAAAAATTATTCGAATATTCGGATAA